AAGGTTCACCATCTTCATTAGCCCAGTCGGTGCAGAAAAGTAGGACGTTAAACCCCATTTCATTTTTGAGACTAACAATGGGTTTATATAACATAATTTGTCATTTTATATCAAAATATTTTATAAACATTACTGATTGAAAGGTTTTAACCCTTTAGAGGGGATTAGGTTGATGTCCGAATGGCTTAACTTAGAGGGGGTGGCCGAATGGTTACCGTACGTGCACGTTGAATCATGAGTAGGGTCGCCTGTCCAACCTCATGGGTTTTCTCTGGATCCTTCGGTTACCTCCCACTGCTAAAGACCCCTACGCACAAGCGATTTTATTGAAATAAATTTGAACCATATGTTAGTCCCGAAATGACCAAGTTTGTATCGAGTGGAAGTTAAACCTCATTTCTCTCTATTTGTAGTCCTTGGTGCACTCGAAATGGTAACTATGGCCTATAGATTGCCCCAAACCGATCTAATTACTTGAATAGCTGTGGAACCACTTACAATTCAGAGAGCTATTCACATATGTCTCGGTTATCACGTGGCTAAGTGGGTAAGATGCTCGATAGCTAGCCTGGTGGTCGATCCCTGCAATGGCCGAGAAAGTTCATCCAGATTTTCCGGCGTGATTTCCACTTGTCAGTGATGCAGGATGGAGTGCCTGACAAGGACAGCTGTCTAGTCGTTCGGATGGGACGAGAAACCGAGGTCCCGTGTACACATTGGCATGCACGTAAAAGATCCCTTGGCAGTTGGAATTCGATATAAGAGTAGACCGTAGCGCCGCTGCCCGGGCAAAATTTCCCTCATAGCACCTTGTATGGCGTATGCACGTCTTCATTAGCCCCATTCTGAACATCTGAGACACGCTATCTGTGGAGAAGTATCTCAGACACAGTCAATAGCCATGATATCCATATCACGTGATCTACACATCACAGGTCATGACATTGACGTCAATGGGTCATGAGGTCAACAACACGTTAAATTGTAAACAATAGGTTTATCTTCAGCATTGTGTCCTTTGCACCCATAAAGACTATATAATTTGTACAGTCCCAACATGTTCTCTCTTCTTCCAATGATTTTTCACAAAAATAACATCTACAACTCATAGAATTGACATTGTCTTCAATGACAGTGTCTGCGAATGGTTGGCACTATTTTGTGCGTCGGTCGTGTCTATTTCAGATATACACAATCAATTCTGTTGATGTCTTTTGCGTTGTGATTGACTAATAGTTAATTTATTTCAGTTCTAAAACAAATATTTTAAACTTTTAACGCAAATTGAGAAAATAGCCAAATTCTGGCTGGGATTACTGAGCAAAATGGCCATTCACTGTATACGTGCGAAAAAAAAGCTAGCCACCAATTAATTTTCGTAGGTTAGTTACGTACGCATTAGCCCAGTTTAGGAGCAGAACAGTGAAACGTTAAACCCCATTTCATTTCATTTCATTTCATATGTCTCGAGTGGTATGGGGGGATAAAAGGAACAATAGTTGTGGGCGTAATCGGGGTGTCCAGAAATATACTGGTGTGAACTATATCACGTTTCTCTAACCTTCTTCAAAACACTGGGGGTACAGTATGTAAATGTACTAAGTACTAAAGGGTTAAGAAATTTATAACAGTAGTTGTGAGCTTAATCTCTTGGTCTAACAAACTATAGTTGTGAGCGTAATCGGGCTGTCCAGGGATATACTAGTGTGAACTATGTCACATTTACTAATTTTCTTCAAACAACTGGTGTAGTCATGATTAATATGTAAATGTACCAAGTGCTAAAGGGTTAAGACATTTGGGGATCGTGGTGGCTAAGTGGGGAAGACGCTGGCTCGCTAGTCTGGAGGTCAGGTGTTCGATCCCTGCATTGGCCGAAAAAGTTGATCCAGATTTTCCGTCATGGTTCCCCTTTGTCAGTGATACAGAACGGAGGGCCTGACAAGGGCAGCTGTCTAGTCTTCGGATGGGACGAAAAACCGAGGTCCCGTGTACGCATTGGTGCACACGTAAAAGATCCCTTGACAGTTGAAATTCAATAGAAGAGTAGGTCGTAGTGCCACTGTCCGAGCAAAATTTTTCTCATTAGCCCAGTTGGGAGCAGAACAGTAGGACGTTAAACCCCATTTAATTTCATTTCATTTCATTTCTGTTGAAACAATAGTTGAAAAAAAACCCCAATAAACACTGATAATCTCTTATACTGGGAGATCTGTCATATAAGTTACAACTTAATTAATTGATTAATTGTCTCTAATGGCTAATTATAATGGAGTCCTTAATTTTTTACTTGAACTGATATGTGCGTTTGTTGTTTGTGGTGTCTGTGTCCTGTCCGTAGGTTTGTCTTGTGTAATTGTTTTGTGTGTGGTGCAGTCCACCTGCACATACTATTATAGTAATTGATTAATATTAAAATATAGATTTCAAATTAAAAACAGAATTACAAATAATAAAATAACATTTGACCTAGACATAGGTCATAATTTTACGTTAATCACATATATTTATTTCCACGAAAACACAACAACTTAGACAGAAATCGGTTTGTTTTGAATTGATGTAGTCCATTACGTACGGAGGCAGTAATTAATGCATGTCTACCAAATGTTGTGGCGAATCTCAGAATTCGATCAGAGAAACCATTAACAAATTTGAGAAAACTAGTCAGACGGGACATGTTCTACATCCTGTAATAAACCTAAACCAGAAAATATTTTATATGGAAAAAAAGAGTATAGGAATGTCTTCCGCTGGGATTGAATGATGAATGGAAGTTTTACAGATGAGAAACCATGTTGATAAAGTTGTGAATGAATGTTTTTGTTTATGTTCCTAAATCACGAGAAGGATCTGGATGATATTAGTCTGACTCCGCCGAACCAAAATGAAATGAAATGAAATGGGGTTTAACGTCCTACTGTTCTGCTCCTATACTGGGCTAATGAAGACGGGCATGCGCCATACAGTATGCTATGAGGGAAATTTTGCCCGGGCAGCGGCACTATCGCCTACTCTTAAATCGAATTCCAACTGCCAAGGGATCTTTTACGTGCATTCCAATGTATACACGGGGCCGCGGTTTTTTCGTCTCATCCAAAGGACTAGACAGCTGTCCTTGTCGGGCCCCCCGTTCTGCACCACTGACAAGGGGAAACGACGTTGGAAAATCCATGAACTTTCTTGGGCCAATGCAGGGATCGAACACCCGACGTCCAGGCTAGCGAGCCAGCGTCTTAACCACCTAGCCACCTTGGCTCCCCTGCCGAACCAATCTACTGGAATCGAAATGAAAATATACGCTCTAATTTAAGTAGTTCTTATGTCCAATTGTTCCATATATTTTTGTCTCCCACCTTTCTGAGCAGAGAGAAAGAAATGGGGTTTAACGTCCACTCCACACAAACTAGGTTACTTCGGGACTAACATATGGTTCTATTTTATTTCAATAATTCGCTTGCTCATAGGGGACTTTAGCAGTGGTAGTATCACTGCACTAAACCAGAAGTTGTAGTTCAACACTGCTAGGTCTGTATCACTCTGCGGCTTGAGCTGCCCTTGTACCCAAATTTCAGCCTTGGGGCAGTCCTAGTGTAGTTGACAACCCTGAACAGACAAATGACATTCACAAATATAGAAAAAGAGAAAGAAATGGGGTTAAACATCCACTCGACAAAAACTAACAGAGGACACTGGAGAATGTGATTGTTGGGGAGATTGTAGGTTAGGGTTAGGGTAAGCATTGGGACTAGGTCTTAGGTTAGGGTTGGGATTAGTGTTCGCCCTGTATATATATAAAAAAAATATGGACTAAAAAACTACATTTGTATATATTTGAATTAGTATAAGAGCCTCAATAGCATTTTGTTTCAATTAAAAGTCTTGATATATTTACTGCAGGATTATACTTGAGTGGTTATATTAGATAATTGTTCCTGATTCCACGTGATAGTTCCTATACGTGACAGCAGAGTAGATCCACTCTCTTCACATACAGAGTTGAAAAGGGAAATTAGAAAAAAGTAGGGAAGAGGGGATTATAGTCGTATGAATACAACAGGAAATTACTTCACCGAGGGATATAACTCTCTTCAAATTAACTTCCGTTTAACGAGCACAATACATTAACGTCACCTCTCACTGTTCGTCATATTAACCCCACTAGCTGTCACAAACACTGTCACATAACCTTTATGGCCGACAAGAGACAGGGAAAAAAATCTCTATTTTCGGATTTAATTAGGATTTCCATATCTGTACAGTCGTTAAGACTAATATTCAATCATGTTGGGCCGTTTAGCTGTCACAGTTAATGTTAAAGAAAATAGTCCGTCTTGTGAACATTGTGTTCTGAAGTAAAAGAAATATGGGTTCATGGCCACCAGTGCTGTAGGCATAATCTTTTAGTGCAGTTCAGTTATTGAATATTTTCCTGTTTACATTTTCAGGAGGCGCCGTTGCTTAGTGAGTAATTATATGGCACTAGCTCATTAACCCGATGTCCCAGGCTTATAGACCATACCTGATAAACCGTTCACAATATCAATCTAATATAGTATACTGTTAATTAGAAATGAAATGAAATGGGGTTTAACGTCCTACTGTTCTGCTCCTACTGGGCTAATGACGACGGGCATATGTCATACAGTGTGCTATGAGGGAAATTTTGCCCGGGCAGTGGCACTACAGAGTATTTTTATATCAAATTCCAACTGCCAATGGGATTTGCTACGTGCACGCATATGGGTCCTCGGTTTTTCATACCATCCGAACGACGACAGCTGTTCTGCACCACTGACAAGGGGAAACCATGCCGGAAAATCCTGATGAACTTTCTCTGGCAATGCAGGGATCGTTTGTTAATTAGAAATTTCTCAGATTTAGTAATGTATGTGTTTCCATGGAAACAAATTGAACTTAGTTTTTGGTATGCAAGGGTGCTTAATATTCCTGACTGAGTTTTCTTGTTATATTTATTCTACAATGAATATATTTTTCAGGTTTCCTTAAAGATTTTGTGTGCTGGATCTCATTTTGTAAAAAGAAAAATTGAGGTAAGTGTTCTCTCTTTTAAAGGGACCATCCCGATTTTAACAGGGTCTCAGAAATAAATATATGTGTATGTATGAAATTTAAGCGCCAAAATGTATAGGAATGGTGTATGTACCTTGTCTCATAATTTCAGCTCAAAATATTGAGTCGTTTGGACGTGAATGTCAAAACCGAACCCTTTTAAGATTTTGGGTCAATTTTTTCATTGGGTGACCTGATAATCGATTCCCATTCCTTTAGAGGACTATACAGTGCATGAACCACGTGCTGTATTTGATAACGAAATGTAAATTTCACCTACACATTATTTTTATAGAATAAAAGTCTGGTTTTATCCAGACACCGTATAATACAGCTTGGGACACCGGTCTCGATTTCCAGATGACGACTGACGGGGCTAAGTTGTTAGAAAACGTATCGCGTATATTGAGTTAGTTGCCCTGCCTAAGGTAAAGGATTTTAAGGGCTTTTATCACAAAATTAAGAAGTTTTATTTTCCAAAATATAATCAAGATTGGCCCTTTTAAGAGAATTGAAAGTATTCTGGACCAAAACTGCATCCATTTTATTGGTTGGATAGTAATAAAACCAGTCATGGCCATCGAGAACTTATACAGTATTTAATAATTCAAGGGACAATGTAACTTATTGTGAGCCTGAGAGGGAGAGAGAAATGGGGTTTAACGTCCACTTGACACCAACTAGCTCATTTTGGGACAAACATAATGTTATGGTTCCATTGTATTTTAGTAATTCACTTGCGTGGAGGGGTCTTTAGCAGTGGGAGGAAACCAGAGTACCTGGGAAAAAATGACGAGGTTCACATACAAACTGGGAATCGACACCACACCGCTTGACTCATTGACAGACCTTATGATCTAAAGTGCACATTTTGGAGCATTCAGCAACCCACCCACCCTTCTGAGACAGTTGATACCTGTTAGCTTTATACAGATTTGTTAGCTATGTGAACTCAAACGAGAATTATTATCAAATGTTCTAGAAGGAGTATGCATCACTGCCTTATGCATGAACGGCATACGTGACAAGGAGTAGGGTCGCCTGTCCAACCTCGTGGGTTTTCTCCGGGTCCTCTGGTTTCCTCCTACTGCTAAAGACCCCAATGTGCAAGCAAATTATTGAAATGAAATTGAACCATATGTTAGTCCAGAAATGACCTAGTTTGTTGTGAGTGGAGTTAATCTCTCTCTCTCTTCCTCTCTCCCATCACTGCCTTATGCATGACACCCATCATTAATACCGATCATGGCTACTGGATTCAAGATAACCATGGGGACTTTAGTCCAAGTTGTAAATTAAGCTCAACTGCCATTCATAAAAAAGCAAGATTCCACGGTTACAACCAATTTAAGAGATTTCTTATAGCATGGTTAATATAGTTTTATGTACTATAGGCATTAAAAATGTTGTACAAACATAATACTTCTAGACTAGACATTAACGTAACACTTGCTGAAGTAGATCAGACGTAAATTACAAGTTGGGAGAAAATTTGTTTGCTCGATGGCGAACCTTGTATTCACTTATACTAGTATCTTCTGAATAATTGAAGAAGCGTTAAGGGCACTTATCTTAAAGTCTTGTAAACACATTGATGTATTAATGGTGTAGACATATGAGTGGACGCTCTCTCTCTATGAGATAGGTGATGATTTACGTCTAATGGCTGGAGTATAATCATGTAACCCTACTTTATATAATGATTGAGTGACGAGAAGCTGGTACAAAAAGTGGGAGCGTGAACACCTCAAGTTTTGGTAGTGGTGATTTCATATAACACCCAAAGCCGTGACTTGGTATCAACTTAAAGGAGCTAAATCTCTAACTCTATACATGTTGTGATTGTCCATAATATTTGAAATTTAAAACATGAATTGGGATTCAATATTGGTCCATTTCAATCAATATCTTGCCATGAACATATGGGATCCTAATATCTAATATTTCAGACACAATAAACATTTTAAAATCAGTACACAAGTCGTGTACTCTATGGCTTCGGACACCATTTGTAATGAACAAAGAAAAGCATGTCCTACAAGACAATCCAGAAGTAATTAGTAATGGCTGATTCACAAATGACAAAATGATAATTAAGAAACATGTAGAATAGGCTTTGTAAACTGCCATTCAATTTGGACTGTTCACGTATTTCACTGACCATAATTGTTTAGAAATTACAATATTTTTTTTAGAATAATGAATATAGATCACTTTATATACATTCTATACATTCACATTACCTTGATATGTGCTTTTAAGAGGGGGGAGGGGCGGCGAATGGTTAGCACGTTCGTGCTGTATCATATGGCCTGTCATTGAGTCAACTGGCGTGGTTTTGAATCCCCGGTTGTATGTGACGAGGAGTAGAGTCACCTGTCCAACCTCATGGGGTTTCTCCAGGGTCCTCCGGTTTCCTCCCACTACTAAAAAACCCTACGTGCAAGCAAATTATTGAAATAAAATTAAACCTTATGTTAGTCCCCAAATGACCTAGTTTGTGTTGAGTGGACGTTAAAACCCATTTCTCTCCCTCTCTCTTTTAAGATGAGAGAGAGAAAAATGGAGTTTAACGTCCACTAGGTCATTTCGGGACTAGCACATGGTTCACTTTTATTTCAATAATTCGTTTGTGAATAGGGGTCTTTAGCAGTGGGAGCAAACCGGGGGACCCAGAGAAAACCAACGAGGTTGGACAGGAGACCCTACTCCTTGTCACGTACAACCGGGGAATCGGAACCACGCCAGCTGACTGAATGACAGACCTTATGAAACAATGCACACACGCTAATCATTCGGCCATCCACACCCCATCCAGTCTTTAAGAGACAAAATATTGGTGTAATTTTAATTAAACTGGTTAACCAACATAATGTATATGATCAGAATACTTGGATTGAAAGTGACAAGGGTAGATAATTCAAGTTCACCCCAATAGCAGATCTAGAACATGACTGGTGCATTATAGTAAGCGATCTTTTCAATAATTTCAAATATGTCTCATTATATCCGATTCTCTTTACCTCTGGGAATTGGAAATGAAGGCAATAAAATACAAGGGTTATTCATTATCGTGCCAATTAAATGATGTTGATCGATCAGAAAATAAAAAGTATATATATAGATATAATGGGTGTATTGTTTAAAGATGGGTTCCCAGAAAAGTATTTATCGGGTGGTTATTTCCAATAAAAGTATGGCAATTTTGGTATATATTGAAAGTAGAGATATCCAGTCTTACTAGAAAAATACTGGATTCCCCGAAAAGCACTCATGGAGCATATACAGGACAAAAATGTAAGGGTTCCCCTAATCGACAGCCGACGATTAGGAATTTCTGCACGCGTGATGTCAAAGGTTACACGCGGACATTGAGCGCTTGATGTACAGGTTGATAAACTTTATGAAGACTTAGACATACAACACTTTCTGAGATAAAAATGACGGAAAAAGACTCGGTTAGTGGATAATCCGAGAATATAATAAGGATTCGATATTTGTAATAAATAGTGAGCGATTAAAGACAATGAATGCAATGAATTTTCCTCTGACTTCCAAGAGAGGTAAGTCACGTGACGTAGACATGACCTGGTTTGACCAAATTTTTATAGCAGGGCATTCCTTGGCAATTATAATGTTTGGGAAGGATTTGAAGCAAAATTATGACAAATTAATTAGTTTGAATATGTTTTTAGTCCATATCACCCAGTTTGTACGTGGTAATATATCTTTAAATTAACATCATTATAGATATAACAATATAAATCAGCAATTTACTGACCTAATTTGCCCCTACTGACTCCACAATCTTGTCTTTTAAGTCTTAACCCCCACCAAAATACGACTTGAATCTTCAAGAATCCAAGATAATATGCCAGTTATTCCTTATTATAGCATTTAGAGAGAGATAACAGCATTGAGAGAGAGAGAGAGAGAGAGAGAGAGAGAGAGAGAGAGAGAGAGAGAGGAGGAGAGTCAAGTGGCATGGGGATCCCCTGCTTGTACATGACAAGGAGTAGCGTCACCTGTCCAACCATGTGGTCTTTCTCCAGGCCCTCCCGTTTCCACCCACAGCTAAAGACCCCCACACCCAAACAATTTATTGAAATAAAATTAGTCCCCAAATGACCTAGTTTGTGTTTTGTTGATGATAAATCCCATTTCTCTGTGGTGTATCTCTACACCATCGGCCATTTTGATTGTAATTTGTCTGGTATTGATTCCCCACCCACGACAACCACATAGACTTATTAAATTGTTGTTATTGATGGATTATCCTTGCAACCAGATTACTATAAATCTAGTTATATCATCATATAATTACATCCTGATTTAAAGAGATGTGTGTTAAAGCTATCTGACTTCATAATTTAAAGATACATTATGAAAGATTTAGATAAAGGACTAGCCTTTTTTCTTGCTATAATAGTCAAAAATAAAGATAATAAAAAATTAATATATTAAAATTTCATTCTAATCACATTATTCTGAGTGAAGTTAAAAGTGTTGGACAATACAGTGAGATTATTTATTATTGTAGCAATGGAACTGGACAAACCAGACTAAGTCTTGATCATCCATTTTATAGTTTAATTTTAAAATCTTGCGGGCATTCTAATCCATTTAAATTGCGGCCATCTAATGTTCTAGAGAGTTGATTATGTGCTTGTCTAGATATACTATTCAAAAAAAGTAGGGGATATTTGATTTTGGGGGCATTATACTAAAATATGCAAATGACTACGAAAAAAGTCACTATAGAACCTAACAGAAGAAACATTTCCAGTTACATGTGACGCCCAAATGCACCAATAGCTACCGCATGGAATGCAGGTGATGCTTGGGATCATCATGGGGGTCCAACCCAAGATTTGCACGACTCTGACTTTGAATGTTACAGTCATTGTGGCATTGAATTCCAGGGTGGAAACATCAGTTTAATTGTTTTAGTGACCAGAAAACAAATTTTGATATGCGTCGG